CAAACCCAGGTGTCATCCTAGACTCCCTTACCTCTTTATCTCACATCCAGATAGGTTTTGCACCCTGACTATTCCATTTTCTTAGAGTCTATGCACTTGTCCACTCCTTGCTTACTACTTCTGCTTTAATGGAGGCCTTTATCATCTCTTGTCTGGATTATTGTACTGCTTCTTTATTAGTTTCCCAACCTCAAATCTCACCTTGTCCAATCCCTTCTCTACACTGAAGTGATATTCCTAAACTCAAATTTGATTATGCTGTTCTAATTATAAGCCTTCATTCCAAATGCATCCTTTTGTTTCTTCTTCCATGCTCTTTGCCTAGAAGTCTTGTCCTTACCACACCTTGTTGATTTGCCAATTTATTCATCTCCCAGGAGCCAGCTCAGTCATGTCTCCTCTGTAAAACCTCCCTGACTACTTGATGAGAGCCCTTCCTGTTTTCCTTTGGCACCAATGGTCCAGGTTCTTACTTTTCTTACAGTGTTCCTGATCCTGTAGTGCCTCAATCTGTTCTAGACTCTGTGAATCCCTGGAGCAAGATTTTGTGTTATTGAGCCCAACACAGGATTCAGCAGAGAGTAATTTTTTACTAAGTGTTTATTGAATGAGACAAAGAATAATGAGGGCTTGGAGGCCTGAGTAACTGGAGGCCTGTTTACAATATAGAAAGGGTGTGCCTTTCTACAAAAGCATGAAAAATACTGCTGGGTCACGGGCCACACGGTGGACCCATTAGAAGAATCTGTCCAACTGGAAAATCATCTAACTACAAGGAGGCAACTTAAGGTGGCTAGACCCTGGAATACAGTTTGGTCAATTTCCCATGGTGGCTACTTGCTATCTTTGCAATGCTCTTTCTGTTACTCTCAGGAGCTGCCGTGGCCCATTTTACTGAATTAATTTCCTGACCATCCACATCCCTAAGTGTTAGGAGGTTGTAAGAATCTGAAAATCTTTTCCAAACTTAGGAACCTTGGCAATTCCTCACATTTTCCCAAGGGATGGCTCACTCTTTCTTGGGAACACCTCTTTCTGAACATGTATCTAAAAACCTTCCTGTAGCCATTTGAATCCACCCTTTTCCTGTTCACCCACTGGAGAGATCTCACTTGTCTCCATATCCATAAGATACCTGAACTGAAGTAAATACATAGCAAATGCTTATAAGTTACCAAATGAGGTAACAGATAACCTGAATTTCAGTGAGTCCAGACTACCATATGCCATTCTTCAAGTTTCTTAAAAGCACAGCAGGCAGGGTTTTCCTGATACAATTTAGTGTCTGAAAGCTCCATTTGTTTTTCTTGTAACAAATCTCTTCCTCTCCAATTGCAGCAGAAAGAGAAGACATTCTGTGCAGCTGCACCAACCAGTTTAGCAGATAGGCAATATAAACAATAGTCCAAACTCAACCAAATTGCTCAACAGAGCGCCTTGGTCAGCTCCCCTAGATCATGAGGTGTATGGTTCAGACAGAAGTGACATACAAAGTGTGCCTATTCTTGTTAATATCTTTGGGAGAATCTGTGCTCTGAAACATTCAGGATTGTCTGGGAGATAGACACAGCAGGAGTGGGGCCCAGGGAATCCATCTGCAAGAGGATATCTCATTCCTTTCATAAGGAGACAGGAAGAGACCCTGGGGAACTCTCAGGGATAGGCCCAGGCCTGGTTCAGCTGCTGAGATGCAGTTAGGCCAATTAAGTCATTGGTGTGATGGGGAAAGGAGGGAGGTAACTCCCTTCAGGCAAACTCCTACCCCTTACAGGAGGCTCCTTGCAGCTGTGGCAGCAGCAGCAGCAACAGGACAGGGATCTTTTCCTTTTCCTCCCACTAGCTGAGAACTAATGCTTAAATTAGCACCTTGGAAACACCCAGATCTGCTGGCTTTGCCTTTTCTCCCAACTCCTACCCAGGGCCTCCTTTTGATGTTTATTTCCCTTTCAAGTAAATAAAGATGCTTGTCCATTAAATTCATCTTTCTAAGTAAGGAATGGCCCGTAGATTCTTCCCGCCACTATGACTGGAGGGAGGACTATTTGATGAGGAAGTCCTGTGACAGGCTCCTATCCGTATAGCTTGACCCAGAAAGGGGCAATGGTACTGACACCAGCATTGCCTGATTTCCTTACCCTGCCCTCAGGGGGACTCACACTGAAGGAGTGAGCAAGAGGAATAAAACTTTCCCTGAACTTATCTGTATCTGTATTGTTAACCACTGTGTCTCCAACACCTATTACAGTATCTGGAACAGAGTAGATGCTCAATAAATATTTGGTGAATAAATTTGCAGAATCCATGATATTAGATCCCCATGAGATCCTTTGCAGAGGAAATTCGTGTGGTGCTATAGGATAAGCACTGGACCACAAGGTCAGTTTGAACCACAAAGTTGGCAGTTCAAAATCACCAGACTCTCCTCAGAAATCCTATACATGGTCACTATGAGTCAGAACTGACTGGATAGCCTTAACAATTGTTTAAATTTTAAAGAGATAGTTTGTCTTCATTTCATAAACAGGAAAAACTGAGAACAAGAAAAAGGAATAACTTCTTAGAGTTATCAATAAATAATGGCAAAAAATGAAATTGGTCACAGCTGAGCCTGAGCCTGCCTCACACATCAGTTTTATGCTCCACTCAAATATACCTAAAGCTCCATTTTGCCCCTCTCTTCTGCCTTTTACCTCTGTCATATGACATCCTAATTCCTTATGTTCCAAAAGAAGGGTGTAAGGAATAGGGTGCATCAAGTTTAGGCTCCCAGTAAAACTTCATACAAGATTCTTCTGGTCTCAACAATATACAGGGTATTTAAGGTAGAGTTTTGGAGTTCACTAGATGGCCAGCCTGGGGACAGGGTTCAAGAGGCAGAGATCTTCAGGCACTGTCTATGGTCTCCACTTGGGAATTGTCTTATTGCTATTTCCATAAGACTCTCACTCAACTTCAACAAAATATCCTCTTGCAGAGAAGGGTTTCTAGAAAAGAGTCTAAAGGCAGCATCCACAACTTGTCTAGTAAATTCTTTCTTGTCCATAAGTCTCTCTCCAACTCCAGGGTTGCACAGACAAGAAAGCATATATACCTAAGGAGTCCTCTGGACCATTCCCCAGACATGTCACCATTTATGACTTCAGAAAATAACAGAATCTCTCTCACAACTGAGGGAGTCCTGTGAACTCATTTCTTCCCCTCTTTCCCAGGACAGCTGTTACCTCCCACCTCAGGAATCCCAGATGGGAGGCAATAACTAACTCATTGCTTCCTTCTCCTGACTCACTTGGTCCTCCTTCTTCATCCACCATCCCTTTTGGGTACTGATTATATGTTCAAAACTGGAAGAGTAATTTAGTTCCAGAAGCCTGGTTGGATGAAAACAGAGTACAAAAAGGAAGGCTCTCTTAGCCCAGTCCAAGGTCCTCCTGCAGGTTTGTAGGACCAACTTCCCTTCAGATTTTCTGGCCCCCAAGAAATTCTGCAGCATCTCTCTTCTCAATTTAATATTGTACATTTCTGTAAAGCTACTCTGTTTTGGCTGCTAGAACTGTGAAGGTAATCATAGAAGAGGGGAAAAAGAGACTTATCTCCTGCTTATGATTTTCTGGTCCTAATGATTTTCTCCACCATCCCCCAAAACGTATGGTATAGAGTTGGTCATGGGTCCTCATTTAGGCCCATCCCGAATACTGGAATGGGCCGGTTACTTGCCCAGTAAGCCACAAAGCACATCTATCAGCTAAGGGTCTTCAGATTCAAGAGCATAACCTGTTCCTCGCTTTCTTGCCTAACACAGAGGCAAAAGGTTTAGGGAGCCCAAGAGCTTCAGGACTTGGAGAGCTCTGCTCACTCCAGCAAAGCTCAGATACTACTAGGGCATACACACTTAGGTTCCTGACCTGCCCCAGCCTCCTTCCAGCTTCTCTTGGGCCTCCACCTGGGAAAGGAGATGCAAAAGCGAACAGGGACGGCGTGCTCCCTTCCTTTCTCCCTCTCTTAATACCAGTTGGCTAGGCCTCTGCTCTCCTGCGCCGGCGCCATGCGGACAAGGCAGTCAGGTAGCCCACCTCCCACCTCCCACCCCGCCCCACCCCGCCTTTCTCACCCGGGCGGTGGCCACGGATAAAGTCTCCCCCCAGGCCTAGTCTGGTGTGTCCGCGTCGCCCTCCCCCTTCATCCCCTCGCACTGGCAGCGATGACATCATTCCTCCCTGACTCTGGGACAGCGGACAGGCAGCAGAATCAGAGCCCAGCACGTAGAAGCACGTAGGCCCAGGAGGTTAGGGGCTCTTTGGAACCCGTGGGCACAGGCAGTTCCAGGGCGGCCCCGCCCCCTCCCTGTCAGTGCCAGAGTGCTCTGATCGGCGTCCTTGTTTCTCCATCTCTCAGCCGCTCACTTTCCTCGCCAGCTCGGGGACCCACAGCCCCCAATTGCCTTCGCTCTTCTCCAGAGAGGAAGAAATCCCCTGTAACTGGTCCCTGGCCCCGGTCCTGCGTTCCCATTCAGATCCAGAGAACTGATTGACAGGCCCCTCGTCCTACATGACTATTTCCAGTCCGTCTCAGCCTGACGGCGCCCCTGGCCCCGCTTCCCGGTCCCTAGCATCACAGGCCTCTAGAGCTATACGCCTACCCACCTTCACCTCCCTATCACAGCCTCCAGGGCCTGCTACTTGGGGTGTCCCATCACAGTTTCCTTGCCATCCTCCACTAAGGACCTCTACCAGGGGGGTTCACCATTGTGCTCTCCTCTATTCCATCCGACGGCGGCCTGCCTCTTAACAACTGCGCCCTTCGCCTTTACAGACCCCCGAGATCTCCCCCTGCGTATTCTCTCTCCCACGGTGTTCTTGGCCTGCAAGTACCCCTCCTCTGGCTACGCGTTTTCACAGCTCTCTCTGCTCCATCCGATGGCGCCCCCACGCACGGCCCCCACGGCCTATTCCCTCCTCGGCAACCCCTCCCGGTCCTGGCCTGCCCGCCACCCGCCCCCTCACCAGCGGCTGCATCTCCGAGTGCGCGGTGGGCACCTGGAACCGGTCGATCTCTTCCATCATGGTGCCGGCAGGCAAGCAGACTGGGGGCCGGGCGCGGCCGGGGACGCCGACTGGACCGCACGGGGCGGCGGCCCCTGGAGCCCGGCGAGTGGTGCAGACTAGGCCGCCCGCGATGAGTCGGGCGGAGGAGGCTGGGCTGACCTAGGGACGGGCGGGGGGCCAGAGGTTCGCGGGCGGGCTGAGACTGGCGTGGCTCAGAAGGCTTGCCTAGAGCTCCAGCGGCTGAGGCCAGGCCGAGCCGCAGGTCTTGCCTCGCCTACTCCTCCGCCGCCGCCTCCTGTCAGCAGCTCAGCCACTGCGGTGACTCGGCAACTCCACTTCCGGGTCCGGGACACCGCCCGGTCATGCATTATTCATGAGTAGGTGGTGTCTGGGCGCTCTCCAGTTCCGCCCACATTCAGGAGTTTCCGAATACTCACAGCCCTCGGATGCATTATTTCTGAGGGGGCGGGGCTTAGAGGAGTGAGGCTCCCCAAGTGCCCGCCCCGTCTCCTCCCTGAACTAGGAGGGGGCGCCAGAGACGCCTGCGCCCTGACTGTCAGTCGGTTGCTGGGTAACCGCGTCAGGGAGGAGCCAATTCTTTCCTACAAGGGCTCAGGGACCCACAACGACGGCTGTCCCCAAAGAACCCCTGCGACTGGGAATCAAAGTGAAAGTCCAGATTTCCTGTGCGTGGTCAAGGAGACGGACAAACTTCTTTTTTGTAGGCTCTCCGGGGGTTGAGGTACTTCCTCCTTCTACGAAGATGCCCCCTAAACAACTTCGTAAACCGGTAACGCACACCCTCTCCCAATGACCTCTGACCTTCACTCAAGTGACCACTAATTATCTCTCTTCTGCTGAACCTTGGCCTTCCTTCCCCTGTTGATCCCTAACTTTGTCTCTCCTGTGACCCTTTATCTGTGTGCTTCCACTTACCTCTGACTCTGTCCTGCTCTGTGCTGCTGACTCTGACTGCCTTTCACGCACTGCTTCTGACCCACTATTTCCTACCTGTCTTTCATATGGCCTTCCCTCACCATTGCATTCCCTCTCACTCTTGACCCATCCTAACCATCTACCCTCCTTAACCACTCCCTCCACTTCCACTGTACATTCCTCATTGCCTTCTCATTCATGTCCTAAAGGAATCATTTATCCCTTTGCCATATGGCCTGCTCTTTAGAAACCCAAAGAGTACACGGAGACAAGAAAAAATTATGTGCAAGAATTTGGTGTACGTGTTTGTACCTGAGAGGAGAGAGAGGTTCGATAACAGGAAGAGGAGAGAAACCCCTTTTCCATCTCTAACCTCCCCTCACTCATTGCTGTTGTTGTTATGTGCCGTGGAGTCGGTTCCGAGTCACTCATTGCTCACCCCTAAATGCTGACCCCTGACTATTTCTGGAGCTCTGGTGTCCACTCCTGTGACTCATTTTGCCATGTAGCCATTATGTACTTGTTACCACCTAGCTAGATGTTATCTCTTCTCACAGGAAGCTCCCTTAACCTACTCAGCACAGAGTTCTGCTTTCCTCCCAGCGTTACTCTGGAAGTGAATTAGTCACAGCTTCTGGAGGAGCCCTCTGTGGGAAACCATTCAATCTGACAGGAATCACCTTTTCCAGCCCCTTTAAGCATCACCACCCTGGGACTAATATACAGTTTCTGGGTCTGTGAAGCAGGACATCTATTTATTTATTCTAAATGTATCTCACTCTGGCCTACGAATTTGGAGATTTGTAAAGCAAATCTATGTCCATTCTGTTTGTGACTTTATATATTTTAGCCTGCCCTCCTCCATCTTAACCTTTTGTCCCTTTGCGTCTTTCACATGGACTCCTGCAGCAGGTGGACACTTCTTTCTTAGATCTTTGCTGCCATGGGGAGGTTGTTATTTCTGTATAGCTCTGCCCTAATTTTAAGTCAAATTGAATTGTGTTTTCAAGCACGTGTGCAGTGATTAAGCTTAACTCTTAATTTATGCAACTAAATATGTTTTTAAGTCTGATTTATATACAATGGAATGGACCATTTTAGTTGTAAGGTTTGACAAGTTTTGACAAATATACACACTTGTGTAACTATCGCCACACTCCAGATAAAAGATACTTATATTACCTCAGAAGGTTCTCTGGTCCTTTATCCCAGTCCACTTCCTCACTTCCATCCCACAGCTCCAGGTAACTATTGATTTACTTTCTGTTGCAACAGATTAGATATGTCCTTTCTAGCATTTGTAGTTTGAACAATGTTGGAAATCTATTTTCTCAGCCCATTAGGGGAGACATTAGAGAAACATTAGGAGAGACATTAGTGACTAGTTGTCCTGAAAGCAGAAAGAGGTGGCAGCTGACAGGAAGTAGAAAAACTTGAGACAACTGTCCCTGCATTTCTTCTTCTTTGAGAGAAGAGTTGTTTTAATACAATGTCAATACTGGTGTGTGGAGTGGAGAAATGGCTGGGTTGGCGTAGGTTGTATTCATTATGCTTTTGTTTCAATGAAATCCAGTTTGGGTCAATGCTAAGCCAAGTGCGGGATAACCTAGAGATGTTTGAGAAATTGGCCCTTGTCCTCTGGGAGCTCAGTCCAAAGAGGGAGACAGAATAAAAGATGAAGGAAAAATGGGATCCTTGAGAGAAAGAGGGACAGAGGCATGTAGACTAGAGCAGGGAGAAGACAGGTAGGATTTGGATGCCTGCAATGGAGAGGAAGGTCAAGGTTGTGTTTGTTAGGGAACAAAGAGGAGTTTAAACTTCAGTGGTTAATGTTATTCCACTGATTAGACCTTTTAGTGGCTCCTTATTGCTCTCAAAAAAATGTCCCCAAAGCCCAGCTTGTTTGATATGATTTGCAAAGACTTTGCTACCCACCCTACTCCAGATCTTCCCATTTCTCATGAAAGTACACAACAAAGCACACTGAATTGCCCTCACTTAATAGAAAGCAACATCCACACTCTTTCCTGTAGGCCTTTATAACTGCTGCTTCCTCTGCCTGCATAATACTCTCTGTGCCCCACCCCCCATCTCTTCTTCATCTCCTATTCACACTTTGAGTCTCATCTTGGCCATCATATTCTCCTATAAGGGATTACGTGTCCTTTCTGGAGGTAAGAGAGAGTGATAGCCCCAATAGACTATAAATTCTGTAGTGGCAAGGATCATGTTTGTCATATTCATTGTTGAGTCCACTGTACCTATTAATGCCTGAAATATATTAAATTCTTAGAAAATGAATATTGAATACAAACCCAGGATTTTCTTGTTATTTCAAAATTTTGATCTGGATGAGTTTGAAGAACAGGAAGGAGAAGACCTGGCATGGAGAGACTAGTGACGGGGAAATGTCAGTGTATAAATATGTCTGGATACATGATAAATCTATTTTAACAGTTATTGTTGTTGTTGAGTGCTGCTGAGTCGATTCCAACCCAAAGCGACCCTGTATAGGGTTTCCAAGGAGCAGCTGGTGAGCTTGAAACACAGACCTTGCAGTTCAAATGGCTAGGGATTATTCAAACCTGACCCACAATGCACCTCTGACTTGAGAACTGGGTGTTGAAAATTAAGAGATAAAAAATACTGATGGTGCCAATAGTCATTCTCATTAAACAGGCATTTATTGAACGCCTGCTATCTGCCAGGTACTGTTCAAGGTATTGGTGATAAAGCAACAGCACCCCTCAAAATTCTTGCTCTCATGGAGTTTATCTTTCAGTTGGAGGTAAATTGTCAGCAAGCAAATAAAATATAGAGTAGCAGATGGTGATAGGTGCCAAGGAGAAAAATAAAGCAGGAAAAAGAACTAGGAAGTAGAGGGAGACAGAAGATTATAATTTAAATAAGATGGTCACAGAGGTGACATGTGAGCAAAAATCTGAAAGAAATGAAGGAGAAAGCTATATGATAATTGAGGAGAAAAGTATTCCAAACAGAGAACATAGCAAGTGTGAAGTCCTTGAGGTAGGAGCCTGCTATACATGTTCTAGTTTAGAAAGGAAGGGAGGGGAAAATAGCAGGAGAGAAGGTGCTCTGGTAGCATAGTGGTTACGAATCAGACTGCGAATCGCAAGGTCAGCAATTTGAAAGTACCAGTTGTTCCACGGGAGAAAGATGAGGCTTTCTGCTCCCGTAAAGATTTACAGCCTCGGAAACACTGCACAGGGTCGCTATGAGTCGGAACCGACGCCACGGCACATAACCACCAAGGCTAGAGCAGTACATCCCTCAATTCAAATTCGACCTACTAACCCAGTGCCATGAGTTGATATAGCAACCCTGTGGGACAGTTTAGCACTGCCCCAGAGAGCTTCCTAGGCTGTAAATCTTTATAGAAGCAGACTGCCACATCTTTCTCCTGCAGTGTGCTTTTGGGTTCGCACCACCAAACTTTTGGTTAGCAGCCAGGTGTTTCATAATTGTACCACCAGGGTCCCTGGTTATCAAATAATCCATGGGAAATTAAATTGATTTTGATGGAGCTCTATTAATCACAATTTGACATTAAAATGAATGAATGTCAAACATCATAAACTTTGACCAGCTTAAACATCACTGGTAATAATGCACCAATAACAAAATGTCCTTCCCCCAAATTGTGAGAATTCCAACTGGCTGTATGAGTACTGTGCAGGAGATCTTTGCAACATTGCCAAACATTGCCTGGCAGCCACACTTCTTAGTAGAGAACTGAATTAGTGTGTTCTGTGAACTCCAGTTAAAGACTAATTTTAGTTTATGACTAATAAATTCTAGTACCCCTTTATAACTCAGTTGTTGATTGTAAAAATAAAAATTAAAAAAAATAGTCTGGAGTTTTGCATCATTCTCCTGGAAGAACCAAAGAAAATACTTGCATTTTTTGGATCATTTTATGATCTCTCAAGAGATCCCCTCTTTAATCCCCCTAAATTTAGGGTGACTGTGGTAGGGATGAGTGGATAGGTTTGGGTCCATGGCCAAAAGAAGGTCTTGGATGACTCATAAATTTGAGTCTGGTGACTATGCCTGGGATTCATAGAAAGAAATGTCGAGGATAGGTGAGCAGAATCTAGGGGAAGTTGACGAAGTGTTTCTATAAGCCTAAAGTAAGATACCATCACTTTGTGACCCTTTCCCTCAGTGTCATCCTTATGCCATATCTTTCTCAAGCTCTAGATAGGACCATTCACCCCTGTACTCCCTAAATATATCTTGAATTAAAACAGTTTTCTTCATATTCACTGCCACTTTCCTGACTCAATCATCTCTTACTCAGAGTGCTGTAATTGTTATTGTTGAGTGCCGTGGAGTCAGTTCCCACCCTTAGCAACCCTGTATAGGGTT